CCGGCGGCGGTGGGCGTCGTCAGGGGGGCGGGGGGGCTCCAGGCGGCGGCGATGGGCGCTCGATCCCGATTGGATCGGGCGAGAGGGAGAGATGAGGGAGAATGTGGGGAATCGGGGGAGTGGGTAGTGGGGGATCTGGGGTTAGGGTTTCGGGGCGTGGGGGTTATGGGGGTGGCCGATTGGGCCTGGGATCGGCCTAGTTGGGCCAGGGTCCAGGGGGGGTCTCTCTTCCTTTTCTTTTTTTGTATTGTTTTCTGTTTTCTTTTTATTTATCTACTTTTCTGTTTTTATTTATTTATAATCACTTAGGCATTTTATAAAATTGTGAACCTTACACCATAATTATCTTTGTAATATTTGGCAACCACCGAACATTTTTGTTTTAATTTTTGAAAACTTTTATTGTTTTCTTTTATTTAAATTTTGAATTTGTTTCGGTTCTGAACTATCGAGAGTTTATCATAGTAACCGTGGTGACGTGGCATCATTAGCGGGGAATCACTGTAGCTTAATTATTCGGGCGTCATAAATTTCTTCTTTCATAGTTTCCTGCAAAATATTAGTCTTTTCTTGGACAGCGGAGGCTTTCTCAATAAATGCATCAATATTGGCATTGTATTCATAATTATCATAGCAATATTTAAGTATAGCATAATTTTCAGGTCTGTAAACAGCATCATCATAATTTTCACACTTTCCAAACAAAGATTCAATGTCATAAGCACCCTTAAAAGCAACGAATTCTTCTATTCGTTTCACATCATAGTAAAGATAGAGAACAACTTAGAATAGCAAATAAATCTATAACTAAAGATAGAGAACAACTTAGAACAACAAATAAATCTACTTACTGATAAAGCAAACAAGCATACACGAGAATATTCACCCCACGCTATTGCTCCCCGGCAACGGCGTCAGAAAAAGGTCTTAATAACCCACAAGTATAGGGGTCAGTTGTAGCCTCTTTCGATAAGAGTGTCGAACCCAATGAGGAGCTAAAGGTAGAACAAATATTCCCTCAAGTTCTATCGACCACCGATACAACTCTACGCACGCTTTATGTTTGCTTTACCTAGAACAAGTATGAAATTAGAAGTACTTTGAAGGTGTTGTAGGGTAGGTTTGCAAGATAATAAAGAACGCGTAAATAAAAACTAGGGGTTGTTTAGATAAAGAAACAACTAAGATAGTTTTAGTAGAGAGCTTTTTATCACAAGAAAGTTATTTCTCCCTAAGCAATCGATAACTAGACCGGTAATTATTATTGCAGTTTCATATGAGGGAGAGGCATAAGCTAACATACTTTCTCTCTTTGGATCATATGCACTTATGATTGGAACTCTAGCAAACATCCGTAACTACTAAAGATCATTAAGGTAAAACCCAACACCTAGCATCTTGAGAAAAATGACGTGTTCACTGTCTGGAGTGCATACAAGCTTGCGGCAACTCTAAACCGCAACACATCGGTGGGAGCCTAAAACTCGTCTAGTGCTACTGGGAACAGAAGCATATGGGATGTTAATTGGAAATTGGATGTCCCCGAGAGAAGCAAGATTTTCGGTTGGAGGGTTGCGACAAGCAATTTGGCAACAAAAAGAGATAAGTGAATACGCACAATCGTTCATGACAATGTGTGTGACATATGTGGGAACGGAGATGAGGATGAATTTCATGCAGTCATCTCTTGTATCAAAAGTAAGGCGCTAAGATTTGCTATGAGGAAAGTTTGGGGATTACAGGATGAAAAGGAATTTTCTTTTTCATACAAGGACAAACGGACTTCAAATTCTACTAGACAAAAAAAATATCAGAGATGAGAAGAAGAATACTTTTGCTGATGTGGAGACCCTGGTTCCTCCGAGACAGCTATGTGCACCATGACGGCAAGGAATCAATCTCGCGATCGGCACTATTCTTGGTCGGGTATGAAGAGGAAATGAAAAACCTATCTCTATCAGACATTAGGAATAAGGGCAAAAGGAGCTGGTCTCTATCGGCCGTAGCACCCACATGACCCACATCATATCTTTATAAGCACCTCTGAGGTACTGAGCGGACATATTTTGAGATTGAAAAAATCACTATAGAAGTCTCGTAGTTGATGGGCTCGGCATACAGCTGAAAGGATAGCATGACATCCCGGCATAATAGAAATGAGAGACTACCCATATCAGTAAGGTGCACCTTCTTTTGTGGCATCCCATACAAAAGGAACCTCAGAAGTAAATGTGTTTGCCTTGGAGCTATTTGAGGATGGGTGATCAATTGTGAATTTAATCCCGGGTGCGCATGAATGAGCACAAAATGTGCAAGAGAGACTAGTATTGATATATGGGTCAGTTTAAATCTCAGACGCAACGACCAGGAATCGATGAATTTGACCGGGGTGTTACAAATGGCAGACTAAAATGAATTCAAGAAAATGTGACCACCCATACCAAGTTTAGGACTTGAACTTGGGCGAGTTCACCTCAAAGAATCTAGACCGGCGAGCTCTCAATTCGCAACATACCCCAAAGCTTGGTACAGGGACAGAGCCAAGAATTTGGTATAGGGGGGGGGGCGAGTTCCTAACTTGAGCTCTTAGATACTGATGAGCTTCGACCCAGCCAAAAAATATTCAAACTGTATAAAAGGCCAAAACTGAAAGCATGTTTTCATTGATGTAAACAGTAGAAGAAGACTACCAAATTGTCCATCTTCGACAAGACAACTTCATTTTGTATTAAATTTATATAGCAAAATTTGGTATGCTGTACTACGAATAATTGATTCCAATCTGATTTTCGTGTCCATCAATCGACGATCATTCATGTTAGACAAAATAAATTAAAATATTGAAGTTGATGAGAGGGGTCGTACCATATGGAGCCAGAGAGGGAGTCATGCATCTTTAGGTCTATGCTGGCTCCTTGTGATAGTGCTTCCCCTAATTCATTTCATGCTGGCTAAACCAATGATCAGGCTGATAATCACCTTTAGGAGGACTAGGGTTGTTCTCTTGGCTAGGTTGCAGATCGTTTCATTTGCATCATGTTTACATGGCTGACAGCTTGAACCAATTGGCATAAGAAAAAGAAAAAATAACCAATTGGCATAAAAAAATTATGAATTGATTCATCTCTCTTCATCTTCATGACTATAAAAACACAATTAGAGAATCGAAAATTTTCGAATTAGTTTTTCTTGTATGTAGTTCTACGAGTACATCATAAGACACAAACTCATCTAATCCTAAAAAATAAACTAACCCTTTTTCCTCGCTTGATCGATGTTGGCCGGCCGGAATGTGCCTGTGGATCGGCGCAACGACGCTTGCCCGTCGCCTTCCCTTCTGGACGGTAGATGATCTACTAAGCAGCGGCAGCGGCGGCGGCAGCGAGTAGGTTTTTCGGATCGCAAGAAGCCAGGAACTAGCAGATTGGAAACAAGGGACCAAAGAAAACTACCGTGTACGTGCGTGAGCCTGGGTCCTTATGTTTCACGCTGGGCTGTTATTCTTTTCTTTTTCATCTTCTAATAGTTGGGCCTTTAACCTGCTACCTGTTGCAATGAATAAAACATGGGCTTTGACCTGCTGCCTGCAAGTATGTACATGGGCTACGAAAGGCACAGGGGTCGGGGGGGGGCGAGACACCCACGAATCGTGTGCGTACACAGAAAAATGTACTAATATCTCATCGCTATTAAGGGGCAACGTGATCGTTAGGGGGGGGGGGGTCTCGCCCCCCCTCGTCCCCCCTTGGGTCTCCAGCCTTTTTTTAACAGGGGGAGGGACTGGAAGATCCTCGAAGCGGGCAAAAATATCAAGAGTTACAATACTGCACAACGGACCCCAAAGAAAATAAAAAAATTAACATGGTCCTCCCTTTATGCAACCAGGACCAAAATGATACAACAAAAGCGTAACTGAGTCCAGATGCTCCTGGCAACCTCGCCGGAGATGTTTTTGCCACCATCTTCAGCCAAATAATTGACATCTTCCAAATGGTGGTAGGGGCTGTGATGAGCTTGGCCCTGGGAGAGAGAGGTGGGCCGTGGAGGTGGTTGAGCATGGGAGCTCGGTGGAGAAGAGGAGATGTTACATGTGCTGGTCCTCGTCGCCATGGGGTATGGCGTGGTGCGATCGACGTCGGGAGGGGACATCGGCGCCGGCACCAGGTTGCCAGGCTCGTGCGAGTAGCTAGTGTGCTGACGAGCCAACGAGTAGAAAACTATCCTGCCGCAGATGTTTTTTTCCCATAAATAAATAAGAACCAAGTTTGACGATAGGCTTTAATTGACACGATCTCCAACATAGACATTTGATCAAAACTTTCAATATGTATACGTCACAAAAAAATAGTATGCAAGTTCTTTTCATAACAAATCCGAAAATAATAGTCACATTACAGATCTGAATAATTTTAAATATTTTAATAGTCAAAAGTTATACAAGTTTGATATCGCCCTCAATGCAGGACATGCTATATCCAAGCAACTTCACTATTTGATCTAAGAAGGCTAGTATTTCAGTTCAATTATTTCTGGTGCATCCAATCCATGCTGAGAATTCATTCTGTTACATTAATACATTATTATGCGACTTGGATTGCAGAAAACAAGCCAATCCATATAGTATGTGTTATCTGTCAGAGAAAAAACTGTCCCTCGTGCAGGAAAAAAGGGGGAAAAAGGGGCGAAACAGCCTAGAAACCACGACCAAACAAAATTTCTCCACCCTAAAATGGCCAATGTTTAAGAAGCCTTTTAATTTCATTTCTCATCTAACAAGATGGAGGCACATGCTGTTAGCGATGACAACTCTTCATGCGTCGCAGCTCCAAAGCCCTGCCATCTTATCCTACCCAGGCGATCAACCAGGTATATGTACCTGCAGTACCAGAATTGAACAACCTTGTCATAACCAGAACCTCTGCTTCTAGTTTACTGAAAGCCTAAAGGGGAGGGAAACATTACCCGGTAAGAAGGTTTACAATTTGAAGCTCCTTCCTAAAGTCATAGTGGCCTCCAAAGGCATAGACGGCATGCCTTTGTGGATTGTCCGATTTCCTCATTGTCTTCAGGAATGCACGCCTCACAGGACTTGATGATAACAGCCATGAATCTATAAATGAGACCTGGAACATAGTGTTTTCCTTTCAGCTAGCAGCCTGGCATGATGTAAGGCATTTTTCCTCAGCCCATCAGAAGCTCTTAACTTAATTATCGCCAAAGAATTATATACCATCAATACTTATTTTCAAATGACGAGTCAAGACAAGTCTTCTAACAGACACCATGATGCAAGAATGTAAAATGACTACATGAGCGCATCTAACTCCAGAAAATAGAGACCAAATCACAATAAAGGAAGTAAAGTAATGAACATTACAAATGATATAACATATGTCCACACACTTAGACAGACAAAAAGAGAAATGACATACTTGCTGTTCAAGACCATTCCAAAGGAAAGGATGAATAATTTCGCTCAATTCACAAGGTGTTACATACACATTTGATGGAAGTTCTAGAAAAACAAATAAAGCACCATCTCATGTAGATTGAAAAAAAAGGGTAAATGGTAATTTGCATGGCTTTACATCACAAACATACTTCACACTGTGTAACAAACTGAGAATAATTACGTAAGAATACCTCGTACGCTTCAACTTTTCCATTAGCACCAAATGCATCAAGAAAGGGTAAGCTCCACGACTCTGCCATTTTCTGTTGACAAAAAAACTCTAATCAGCTATTGAGCCACTCCATTGGACATCCCTCCTTGAAGAGCATATATCGAAGTTGGCAATGTAAAAAATGAAACCAGAGCTCAGTATGGCAAGTAAGAATTCTATACTTGTGGGTAATGACTTAACCATCGATGAATTTGCGTTAATGCATATGTTACTTGTTTTTGTGCACCTGCCCATGATTCAACTACGAGTAACTTAATGTTGCCATCTGTATTTTGTGAACTTCACATGGTAATTTCTAACAATGAATACATGTAACAGAGAGAAATGTGAGGCTACACATTTTTGCAGCTTGGTGAGTGGTGACCTTGCACATAACAGTGGATTTTTGTTGGCACATCCTCTTATTTCTACATCCGTTTGGTGGTGTATGTAATGAATATATGCAAGACAAATGGATGCAACTTTTGGAAATATTCCACAAAGGAGCTGAATGGTGTGATTTCCATACTGCATTAAGCTCAGTCATAGTTATCTTATTACCTACAAACTATAGTTCCTGACAACAAAATGAACTATATCTACTAACCAGTAATTATCAATACTACTCGAAACAAAGGTATTCAAAAGAAACATATTTTGGATTTTGGATCAATGGTGGATTAGTATACACAAACAGAGCCCAGGAAACATGACCATAGCCGTAGAAAAGGGAAACGCGTCACTCATCATTTCAACTTGTTTTAGTTTGGCAGTCCCAGGTGGGCTGGAGCTACACCCTTTCTGGATAAGCTTAAACCTGGCTTGGCTCAGGAAATGCTAGAGGCTCTAGTGAATTATAGTTGAGCTAAAATGTTCTCAGGATATATGAGCTCATCTACCACTAAACTCGTTAAATCATAAGCAGAGACAGACAAAATCGCTTAATTGGTTATTTTCTAAATACCACGTTGAATGTATAACATCTGACAGTATTTATCCTTCTAATTTGCATCTGACAAGTGAAAAGCGAAAACATGAATGCTATGCACCTGGCATCATCAACAACAACAACAACAACAACAACAACAACAAAGCTTTTAGCCCCAAACAAGTTGGGGTAGGCTAGAGGTGAAACCCATAAGATCTCGCAACCAACTCATGGTTCTGGCACATCGATAGCAAGCTTCCACGCACCCCTGTCTGGCATCATTTGCTTTTTTTTTTGTATTTTCTTTGGAGATGCTTGACTGCAACTAAAAGACATGTGCTAACTTTAAAGTCACCGTAAACTTCTAATAAATCTTGGGAAATAGTTGAAGCAGTTAATACAGTTATTTCCGACAGTGTTCTAACTTCCAAAGAAACTTTTAATTAAATATTTACATATGTAAGTATGGAATATGTAGCAGTACAGCACCGAATGTGCTGCAGCCACTCATACCTGCGAGCTTGCACGAAACGAAAGGCACACCAGTGCCGCATCAGGAACCACCGGCACTGTACCACCAGCCCCATGACTACCGTCTAGCATAGGAGACGCAACAAGCGGCAGTTGCAATGCTCTGCCAGCAGGGGACTCCAAAGCAAGATTAGGGAACTTCACAGCAGCGACCTCTGGGATAATGGTCTTACTCGCCACCGCAATCTACACCATTTCAGTCACAATGTGAGGATCCAAATCTCCCATCATCCAACGTCACCAACAGTTACTGCTTACTATTCAATTAACATAACGGAGTACCAAATTATAGATGCCATTTATACCTTGCCGGCGTTCTTACGGATCTCGGAGATGTCCTGGAAGTACCCCCTGCTCATCTCATCAGTACTGCACTAGACCAATCAATCAGAGGCTCAGAACTAAACAACCACACAATGCACTCATACAGCAGAGCAATATAACCAGTAGGAATGATGTGAGGAGAAGAGCCTTACAGCCTGGCCTTTGCCTTTGCCTTCTTCTCCGCATCCTCGGCGGTCTCCTTGCTCCACGTCTGATCATCCGTTCATCCCAACATCACGAGAAAACCGAATGACTAAATAAAGCCTCTAATGGATTGCAGTCGCAGGGAGTAGCAGGGGGGCGTAGAGAGCAAACCGGAGCGCCTACCTTGAAGAAATCCAGGAATCCACGGGTGAACACCGCGCGAGAGGGCTGCGCGCCGCCGCAAATCCCCTCGCCAGCGGCGCCTGCGTCGGCGAGGCGGAGAAGCGGCCCCGCCGCTCGCCGCGCCCTCAGCATCATCGCCGCCGCTCCCGATCTAAGCTGGTGAGGAGGTCTAGCTGCAAAACCGAAGCGCCGAGCCCGCCTGTGCACGACCTCTTGAAATGTAAACGCAGCTGGAAAACGTACACTTTGTTTACGTGACCGATGCTGCGGTAACGAAATAACTCTATGCCACGGCCGGCGCCATTAGAAACCGCGGACTCCCAAAACCAGCAGCGCTGAACACAGGAAGCAAAACCCGCTTCCCCTCCGGCTCGATTCGATCCTTCTCCGCCCCCCGATCATGGCGTCCTCCTCCTCCTCGGAATTCGAGTAAGTACCCGCATTCCCAGTCTATGTCTCTTGATCGCCAGTCCAGCGCCGCTCACCGGTCGATCTCATGTACCCGTGTCGTCTCGGAGCAGCGATCCGTCGGCGAGGCGCCCGCCGCCGCCGCAGAGGAAGCCGCCGGTGCTGATGCTGCTCCCGCTCATCTACGCCCCCGTTTTGCCCCTCAGTACGCATCCCTCGTCCCCGTCCCTGCATTCCCGTGCCGTAATTCCTCGTTCGGGTCGTATTTTTTGCTAACTAGGGTTGTCTGCCCGTGCGTGAGAAACAGTCAGGATCGGGCTGCGGCATAACCCGGTGTGGAGGGACCGCGTCTTCTACGGCGTCCTCGCCGGCGCATTCGTGCATGGCACCTACCTCATGTACGTCCTCTGTCCGTATATTATTCACTTGTCCTAGCTGTGATTATTATTTATCTATGATAGGTGAGCACTGCCAGCTGCAGTGAGGATCTCTTGCTGGTTTTGTTAGCTACTCGATATGTACTATTAGGAGGCTGTCACTTCGACTACATGATGTATGTATGTCAATGCATAATTGTATCGGTGAGACCACTAGGAGAGGCTGTAATGTTGTGAGGATATGACATGGAAGCTGTTATAGTGTTCAACCACATGTAGTGTAGTACATAAGCCTAGGATAGCTATGTAATGTGTTATTCTCTGCTTCCTTCAATATAAAATGCTGCCGGCAAATTCAAAATAAAAATAAAAATGCTGCACGTATCTGCATCTGTCGGTTGTAGTATCATCTTTTGATTTTCAGCCTGTCTGGTGCTTGTGAGAAACCACATTGTGGGCACCATATACATAATATTTGTATTACTTTGACCGCGATTATTGAAGAAGAGAAAAAACAGAGAAGATATTTATAGTTCCTTGACCATGATTATAAGAGAAAAAAAACTTAGAAGATACATGGTGCACAGTGCAAATTTTTAGGTTGCCTTCATCTTAACTGAAAGGGATGTGATTCGATGAACCAACCATGACCGACTGAGCACATGAAGCATGATTTCTCTAATGGAACATGAGCTCGATAATCTTCTGTTATAGTTTGCTTGATAGGATCATGGTTGGCTTTTGTTATGCCTTCTTCCAAGTTATGTTAGTGTATGATGTTATGTGTAGTTTCATGGCTGCTGTTCAAAAGTTAACAGTGGTACACATCGGAACTCTCATGGCACGTCAAGTGAAATAAACCGTTATCCTTGATTGCATGAAAGCTTAACATTGTTTGATGTGGTATTATAGGTTAGCCGTGTAATGTATTTGGCGAAGAGCTATGTTCACATGATCCATGTTAAGACATGGGTGGATGAGTCCATGACTTACCTGTCATTTTTGTTACTTTTGATTTGATGCAAATGGATATATATTGTAGTACGAGTGATGTTACTGATGGACTGTGTGCACTTTCCTAATCCATGCTCTTGTTATGAAATGCTCCATATGTAGTTCTACGTGCTAATTTTGGTCTCAGAGTCTCCAATATACCATGCATCTGAAAGAAGAATTTTGCTGTTAAGCTATAGTGGTGGCCATGGTTATTAGCATATAATGTTTATTGAATTTGTTTGTGTCTGGAAAAGGCGCCTTCAGCCTTCTTGTGGTTATTGCTTGTGCAAACTTGTCTGCCATGGTGTTGCTGGTAGTTACCTCGACTGCATTGGGTTATTTGATCATGCACAAATCCAATCCCTGATGTTTGCTGATGCTTTGATTTTTTTGAACCACTTCCAAACATAGCATTGGAAAAAAATAGTTGGCCACTTTAACGGACATGTTAATCTCTTATTCCTTATATGGAAATGCAGTGCTTTTTTTCTCAAATTTGTCAGAGCCTTTGCCACGTTTTATGAAATGGGTTTGTTCATGTCCGCAAGTTCGGAGATATAGTTTCTTCACGAACATAAGCTTATGTGGTTCTCATTGATGTTTTTCAGATCGGAACTGTACGACGTGGAGAGCAAGTGAATCATACCTTCCAAAGCTCCAGCTATGAGTTTGCGACAGCAATTTTTGACGATTGCAAGTCTAAAATTGATGATGAGTGACTGATTTTTCATATTAGCATGTTTGCCCTCTACCTGTTTCTCTTAATTCGATTCAAGGTTTGTGTTTGCTATACTGATAGAATGCTTGAGCACCCAGAATAATCTTGACTGCCAGAGCAATGCACCTGGCAACAGTTGCAAATTCTCTATTCATCGCAGTTATTGTTCCTCCTTAAGCTGTTGGTCTGTTTGTTATCATGTGTTGGCATTTGTTTTTTTCCGGATCAAAATTAGCGAAGAAATGTAACACGCCTGCAACGGTTTGAAAGGATTTGCATTGAAGGCCAAAGAATTACCATCACACATGCGTAACTTTGAGCTAAAACAAACAGTTTAATTTATTTTTTTGCAGGAACAGTCTTATTGTCTTAGTTACCAGTCGTGTCTGATCCTTCCGTCAGGGTGCACTGATCCTTCCGTCAGGGTGCATTATCCTTTTGATGAAATCTATGTTGTATGAACGATATTGTTATCTGACTATCTAGTTCAACCGTTCTAGCTGGTTGTTGGATCTTTTTGACTCTCTAGCTCGTGTATTTTATTATGCTGACGAAGGCAAAACTTCTAGTCGTTCTTTAATTAGAGCATCTCTAGCCGTTAGACCCCTCAGGAGGCATAAAAATCGCCGCCTGAGGGCGAGCCAGCGGTACAATCGGTGCTGGGGCGGTTGGGCATCCAGCCGTCGCCCCCATGCGCTGATATTGGCTCGGTTTTCGGCCCATTTTCGACGAATAAAGGCCCCATATGGGCGAGAATTGGCCCATATTCGGCATGGTTCGTCGTGGCTCGACGTTGAATTCTCAATATAAATATTTTTTTTCATCACAGAAAATCAAATAGTTCAATACAAATTATATAGTTCAACAAATAAAAAATCATCGCACGTCGAGCTAGGCGTCGTCCTTGATCCTCCATAGGTGCTCCGTCAAATCTTGCTGCAGTTGGTGATGCACATGTGGGTCTCGGATCTCCTGACGCATACTGAGGTAGGCAGTCCAGGTTGCTGGTAGCTGGTGATCAACTTCGGCTAGAGGATCTCCTGCTCGCTCTTGATGATCATGTTGTGTAAGATGACACAGCAAGTCATGATATCCCATATTTGATCTTTCGACCAGGTCTTAGCAGGGTACCGGACAACATCAAATCAAGATTGGAGCACGTCAAATGCCCGCTCGACATCCTTCCTACAAGCCTCCTGCACCTTGGCAAAGTGGGGCTTCTTGCCTCCTGGCACAGCGTTCGAGATAGTCTTCACAAATATAGACCATCTCGGATAGATGCCATGTGACGCCCCCGATTTAATCGTACACTAATCATGCACGCAAATGTGTACGATCAAGATCAGGGACTCACGGGAAGATATCACAACACAACTCTAAAACATAAATAAGTCATACAAGCATCATAATACAAGCCAGGGGCCTCGAGGGCTCGAATACAAGTGCTCGATCATAGACGAGTCAGCGGAAGCAACAATATCTGAGTACAGACAAAAGTTAAACAAGTTTGCCTTAAGAAGGCTAGCACAAACTGGGATACAGATCGAAAGAGGCGCAGGCCTCCTGCCTGGGATCCTCCTAAACTACTCCAGGTCGTCGTCAGCGGACAGCATGTAGTAGTAGGCACCTCCGGTGTAGTAGGGGTCGTCGTCGACGGTGGCGTCTGGCTCTAGGGCTCCAGGATCTGGTTGCAACAACCAGGTAGAAGGGAAAGGGGAAAAGAGGGAGAAAAGCAACCGTGAGTACTCATCCAAAGTACTCGCAAGCAAGGAGCTACACTACATATGCATGGGTATATGTGTAAAGGGCCATATCGGTGGACTGAACTGCAGAATGCCAGAATAAGAGGGGGATAGCTAATCCTGTCGAAGACTACGCTTCTGGCAGCCTCCGTCTTGCAGCATGTAGAAGAGAGTAGATTGAAGTCCTCCAAGTAGCATCTCCAAGTAGCATCTCCAAGTAACATCTCCAAGTAGCATCTCGAGTAGCATCGCATAGCATAATCCTACCCGACGATCCTCCCCTCGTCGCCCTGTGGAAAAGCGATCTCCGGGTTGTCTGTGGAACTTGGAAGGGTGTGTTTTATTAAGTATCCGGTTCTAGTTGTCATAAGCTCAAGGTACAACTCCAAGTCGTCCTGTTACCGAAGATCACGGCTATTCGAATAGATTAACTTCCCTGCAGGGGTGCACCAACTTACCCAGCACGCTTGATCCCATTTGGCCGGACACACTTTCCTGGGTCATGCCCGGCCGCGGAAGATCAACACGTCGCAGCCCTACCTAGGCTCAACAGAGAGGCCAGCACGCCGGTCTAAACCTAAGCGCACAGGGGTCTGGGCCCATCGCCCAATGCACACCTGCACGTTGCGAACGCGGCCGGAAGCAGACCTAGCCTCCAATCCGGCGTGCGCCGCTCAGTCGCTGGCGTCACGAAGTGCTTCGGCTGATACCACGACGCCGGGATACCCATAACTACTCCCGCGTAGATGGTTAGTGCGTATAAGCTCGTAGCCAACTCAGATCAAATACCAAGACCTCGTTAAGCGTGTTAAGTATCCGCGAACGCCGAACAGGGCCAGGCCCACCTCTCTCCTAGGCGGTCTTAACCTGCCCTGTCGCTCCGCCACACAGATCCACATAGAGGGCCGTCGGGACAAAGGTCCTTTCAGCCCCCAATCCGTGAATCACTCGCGGGTACTCTTCGAGCTGACCCGACTTTAGTCACCATCTGTAAAGTATGTATGTATGTATAGTATATACCCGTGATCACCTCCCGAGTGATCACGGCCCAATAGTATAGCAAGGCAGACTGACAAGAATGTAGGGCCAATGATGATAAACTAGCATCCTATACTAAGAATTTAGGATTGCAGGTAAGGTATCAACAGATGTAGCAACAATGTCAGGCTATGCATCAGAATAGGATCAACGGAAAGCAGTAACAGGCTACACTACTCCAATGCAAGCAGTATAGAAGAGAATAGGCGATATCTGGTGATCAAGGGGGGGGGGCTTGCCTGGTTGCTCTGGCAAGAAGGAGGGGTCGTCAACTCCGTAGTCAAACTGGGCAGCAGCAGCGTCGGTCTCGTAGTCTACCGGAGAGAAAAAGGGGGGAAGAAACAATGAATACCATGTAAACAGATGCATATCGATGCATGACAAGACAAGTAACGATACTAGGCGGGCCCTAACATGGTATGAGGTGATGTCGGTTAAGGGGGGAAACATCCGGGAAAATATCCCCGGTGTTTCATGTTTTCGGGCAGAGGAGCCGGAGGGGGAAAGTTGCGGGTTCGATAGGTTAGGGGTGTGCGGCGGACGAACGGACTGTGTATCCGGATT